TCAACCTCCACCCCAGGGTCTCCAGGCCGGAGACCTCCCCAGCCCTGCTGTGGACGGGGAAGGTTGGCGATGCGTCGGCGTTCCGGGTCTGGGGATCTCGGGTGTTTGTCCGCGACTTGGCTGTGGACAAGCTGTCCCCTCGCGCTTCTCCCTGCGTCTTCCTAGGGTTCCCCCCCGACGGGCCTGGGTGGCAGTTCTACCACCCCACCTCTCGCTGTGTTCTGTTTTCCCAAAACGTCACGTTCGACGAGTCGGTGCCCTACTATCGCCTCTTCCCCTACCGCACTCCGTCCCTCCCCCCGCCCCCGCTCTTTCTTGTCCCAGGTCCCCCCCCGGTAGACTCCCTCCCCCCTCAGGGTCTTGCCCCTTCAGGTGTGTCCCAGGTAGACGCAGTTGAGCCTGTTGAGGTCACTGGTGACTCTGGTGCTGTGGGTGGTGCTGAGCCTGGGGGTGCTGAGCCTGGGGGTGCTGAGCCTGGGGGCGCTAAGCCTGGGGGTGCTGAGCCTGGGGGTGCTGAGCCTGGGGGTGCTGAGCCTGGGGGTGCTGAGCCTGGGGGTGCTGAGCCAGGGGGTGCTACGCGTGGAGGTGCCTTGCCTGGGGGTGCTGGGTCTGGGGGTGCTGAGCCTCGAGGCTCTCTCGGTACTTCATCTCGCCGGGAGCCACTCTCTCCACAGGAGCTGCGCGAGTGGTTTGCCCGGCGCTGGAGCCATACTGCTGGTGCTGGAGGTTCGTCGATTACTGAGGGTGCTGCTGTCGCGGGTCTCGGAGGTGCTCGTCCTGGGGGTATTGGAGCTGCTGGACCTGCGGTTTCGCCTGGAGCTGGTGTTGCTGAGGGTGTTGGCGCTGAGACTACCACTGGCGGTCCGGCTGGCGGTGCTTCTGGTACTGCTGGGGGTTTTGGAGCTGCTGGGGGTTCTGGAGCTGCTGGGGGTTCTGGTGCTGCTGGGGGTTTTGGAGCTGCTGGAGGTGCTGCTGGAGGTGCTGCTGGCGCGGGTACTCCTGCTGGGGGTACTGGTCCTATCCCTGCTGTTTCTGGCGTCGCCACGCGGCCCCGACCGTACTTCGTTCCGCTCTTGCAGCAGGTTCTTGGTCTTACACCTTCTCCTTGTCCTCCTTCTCTTCCTCCCTTAGAGGGTCCATAGCCTGTCCAGTCACAGTCACAGCTACAGCCTGCCTCCCCTTTGCCTGCTCCTTCTCCCTACGCTGGTCCTACCGGAGGTCTTCCTGAGCGTCGTGAGCCTGCGTCTCGTCCTGGGTCGCCGGTTCGTACTGTGCGCGTTGGTGGTCGCGGTTCGCGTCAGCGCCCTCCTCCTGTCCCTGGCACGCACAGGATGTCTCTGCGTCCGTCCACTGCTCCTCTGCGTGCCCCTTTGCCTTCTCCTCCTGCGTCCTCTCTTCCTGCTCTCGCCGACCCTGCGTCAGACTCTCTTCGTGCGGTCAGTCCTACTGTCACGCGTCTCCTTGCTATTGCCGTCACTGACCCTTCTTTCGAGTCCACTGCTGCGTCTGCCCTTGTCACTGAGCTTGTCGATTTTGCTGCTCGCTGTCGTCTAGACTACGCTGCTAGTCTTGTCGCTGAGTCTGAGTCTGCATGTCCTCCGTCCGTCGGGGGTGAGTGTGCCCTTGGCACGGACGTCCTTGAGGACAGGCAGGAGGAGTTCCAGTGCGTGGCAGCCGCTTCACCTCATCTCGTGTCCGTACTGCTCACCCCTGAGGGAGACCCGGATGCACTTGACATCCCGACTCCGCGCTCTTACGCGGAGGCGATAGAGGGTCCCTACTCCTCTCAGTGGCAGGCAGCTATGGATGCTGAGATGGCTTCCTGGAAGTCCACAGGCACCTACGTTGACGCTGTCCCCCCTCCTGGGGCGAACATCGTCAGTGGCATGTGGATCTTCAGGGTGAAGCGGCCGCCGGGTTCTCCGCCTGTCTTCAAGGCGCGTTACGTGGCTCGTGGTTTCAGTCAGCGGCAGGGAGTTGACTACTTTCAGACCTTCTCCCCGACCCCGAAGATGACCACTCTTCGGGTACTACTCCACGTCGCTGCTCACCGTGACTACGAGCTGCACTCTCTCGACTTCAGCACTGCTTTCTTGCAGGGCAGCCTGCACGAGGAGATCTGGCTGCGGCGCCCTCCTGGCTTCACTGGGTCTTTCCCTCCCGGTACCTAGTGGAATCTCCGGCGTCCAGTCTACGGTCTCCGCCAGGCACCGCGTGAGTGGCACGACACACTGAGGACTACGCTCGCGGCTCTTGGGTTTGCTCCTTCTACTGCTGACCCGTCGCTGTTTCTACGCACCGACACTTCTCTGCCGCCGTTCTACATCCTCGTGTACGTCGACGACTTGGTCTTTGCCACTACTGACACTGCTGGACTCGCCTACGTGAAGTCCGAGCTGTAGAAGAGACACATGTGCACTGACCTGGGTGAACTGCGCAGCTACCTTGGCTTGCAGATCACCCGGGACAGAGCAAAGTGCACCATTACCCTGACTCAGTCACACATGGTGCAGCAGATCCTTCAGCGCTTCGGCTTCACGTACTCCTCGCCTCAGGCCACTCCTCTGCCTACTCGCCACTCGCTCTCAGCTCTGCCTTCGGATGAGTCCGTAGAGTCGAGTGGCCCGTATGCAGAGCTTGTTGGCTGCCTCATGTACCTGATGACCTGCACACGACCTGACCTTGCATACCCTCTTAGCATTCTCGCACGCTATGTTGCTCCTGGGAGACACCGACCAGAGCACATGGCTGCAGCGAAGAGGGTGTTGCGCTACTTGTGCAGTATGTCGGGCATGGGGCTAGTGCTTGGAGGGCGGAGTGCAGTGGTCCTCACTGGGCACGCGGACGCCTCTTGGGCTGACGACCAGGCTACGCAGCGGTCGTCACAGGGTTACACTTTCAGTCTTGGTTCCGGCTCTGTTTCGTGGCGGGCTACCCGCTCGTCTTCTGTTCTCGGCTCCAGTTGTGAGGCTGAGATCTACGCCGGGGCTATGGCTGCCGAGGAGCTTCGCTGGCTCACCTACCTGCTGACCAACCTTGGAGAGCCGCCTCGTTCTCCTCCAGTCCTGTACGTAGACAACAAGGCCATGCTGGCCTTGTGTCGAGAGCAGCGACTGGAGCACAGAACAAAGCACATTGCTCTCCGCTACTTTCTTGCTCGTGAGCTACAGCAGCGTGGACAGTTGCGGCTTGCGTACGTGGCCTCTGAGGCCAACACTGCTGATGTCTTCACCAAGGCACTTGCGCCTTGTGATCATCAGCGCTTCTGCACTCAGCTGGGTCTTGTGCCTGCCTTGCCTCACTTGCTCACTTCTTGACCTTGCTTGTACAGTCACATATATATACTCTTGCTCTTGCTTGCTTAGCCTCTTGTATATATATATATATGTGATCTTGCATGTGAACTGGCCTTCTGGCCTTTGAACTTGTGCTCGGAATGTGTGGTGACTTTGTGATCCACCCTGAGTTTTGCTTTGCTTTGCTTGACTGGTCTTGTGACCCCTTGTTCTCCCCCACTTTGCCTATGGGGGTGTGTCAGAACATTATAGCTTATATATTTGTGTAGGCTATAGTGGGGTATCCCATAAGGGGTACAACCCAATCAGGGTTTCCTATATGTACTCACTTCATTCATAGTTCATTCATTCTCGTTCTAGTTTCTTTCACAGTTAGCTCTAAACTTTCTCTGAAAATTACAGAGTTGGGGCCCAAAAATCTCTGATTTTAAGAGACCTCACTTAAAAAAAAAAATCTGAATTCTCAGAGTTTTTCATGCAAATCAGAGAAATTTCCCTGACTTCTGGGGGCCTGCCCCACTGCGTGCCATTTAATTTCCCACTGGATAGCCTGAATTCGCTCAGCTTTCGCCCCTCATTGTGGCTGGCTCACTTTAGTCCGCAATAGGCGATTTGCTCCAGCACACCTGGCAGGTCACTGGTTTTGAGTCAACTTGAAAACCTCCCAGACGGTTGCGACTTGCGAAGCAGTTCGCAACCTCTTGGTCTAGGTCTGTCAACAGTCGCGACAGTTTACTCGCGACTGTTGACCTCCGTGCTCTTTGTGTAGTAACGTGGTAGTGGTATGTGTTGCTCCGCTAGGAGCAGGTGCGATAAGGCTACACCTTCAGGAATGTTAAGACACCTTACGATTGTTCCAACACTCTTCATGGGTGATCTCGTCATAGGCCTTTATGAGTGATGCGTTCGTTTATGGTAGGGGCATCGGGGGACCTCAGTGGCAGTCTCGGTCGTGGCTATGTGTGCTTACGAGAGGGCAGCGGCACTAGCCGGGGCGCTGATGGATGGACGTCTACACCATTAAAAAAAAATGTAAAAAGTAGGGAAGCTAATGTGTGCGAGGCCCGAAAAATGGTGTGGCTTGTCAAACTTATATGCATCATGCATGCTGTTATTTAGCCTACAAAAGGTTCAAAAGGGGAACACAAATTAGGGTTTGCTATTTGTACCTAACCTCTGCTAGTCATACCGTATCCCCCCAGAGAACTAGAGGGTAGACGGTGACGAGTGATTGAGGGGGGAGAGGAGGGCATGCAAGGGAGGGAAGGGAGAAGGGATGGGAAAGGGAAGGGTGGGGCAGGGAAGGGAAGGGCAGCGGGGAGGGCAGGGAAGGGAAAAACAGGATAGAAGGGGATGAATTGGGTAGATGCGAAGGCAGGGAGTGCAGTGATGGGAAGGAAGGGATGGGAGATGGGAAGGTAGGGTTGTGTGTGAAAAGATGAGAGAAAGTGTGAGGAGCAAGAACGCGGGATTACGACACTAGGAGCAAATAGCTGGCATGCTCACTGCAATGTCAGCATGCATGCCAGCGACTGCTGATGTGGCAGCAGTGGTGGCGGAAGGGGCGGCGGCGGCAGCGGCGAGGGTGTGAATTGGGCCACTACTGTAGCCGTTTCCCTGTCTGTATCTTGAGTGACTGAGGGGGCCCAAGGGGCCAGAACAGGCGGCAGGGTGCGGCACGAGGTTGGTTGCCTCGTCAGCGAGCTATGATTCGATGACGAGAGCCATTGCAAGGCCGATTGCCAGCGCTATGGTGTCAAACACGTGCTTCACCTGCAGTAGTAGGCAGAATGGCACGGTGGGGGGCAAGGAAGGGGAGAGAGGAAGAAGGGGAGAGCAGGATTGTATATTGGACAGAAAGACAAGTTAAGTTGCGGGGCAAGGGTGGGAGAGGAGGGTTGACGGTTGAAACTGGGCTTTGTCTGCGAGTAAGGGAGTGTAAGGGCACGGCAGCAATATGTGTGTGCATATGTGTGCACAGAAACGCCATAACACCCACCTGAACAGCCAGGTCTCGAGTGGGCAATGCAACCACCACTCTGACTCATCACACCACGTGCCCCACCAGGGCCTGCATCACTGGCAGCATATACGCCAACGTCTACTGGGGAGGGGGAAATGACCGAATTACCCACCTGAGCAGCCAGGTCCCTGGTGGGCACACGCCCTACCACCGCCCGCACTCGCCGCACCACACGCCCTGCCAGTGCCTGCACCACTGGCAACGCATACGATAGGTAGCAGGGGGAATGCAGGGGGGGTAAGGAGGGGATGCAGGGAGGAAAAGGAGGGGATGCAGAGAGGGAAAGGAGGGGATGCAGGGAGGGAAAGGAGGGGATGCAGGGAGGGAAAGACGAGCGGTTAGAAGGAGGGAGAGGCGGTGGAGGAGATAGTAAGAGGGGAAGGAGGAGACCTAAGCGTTTGGGAGAGGGTGAGCAAGTGCACGGGGGGGGAGCGAGTGAGCGCGGGGGGAGCGAATGCGCGCTGGGGGAGCGAGTGCGCGGGGGGGGGGAGCGAGTGAGCGTGGGGAGAGCGAGTGAGCGAGGGGGGAGCGAGTGAGCGCGGGGAGAGCGAGTGAGCGCGGGGGGAGCGAGTGAGCTCGGGGGGAGCAAGTGAGCGCGGAGGGAGTGCGCGCCGAGGGAGCGAGTCCGCGCAGAGGGAGCGAGTGCGCGCGGGGGGAGCGAGTGAGCGCGGGGGGGGGCAAGTGCGCGCGACGGAAGCGAATGCGCCCTGGGGGAGCGAGTGCGCGCGGAGGGAGCGAGTGAGCGCGGTGGGAGCGAGTGAGAGCGGGGAGGGGGGGGGGGGGGCGAATGCACGCTGGGGGATCGAGTGCGCGCGGAGGGAGCTAGTGCGCGCGGGAGCGAGTGAGCGCGAGGGGACCGAGTGCGTGCGGGGGCAGCGAATGCGCGCTGGGGGAGCGAGTGCGAGCACGGGGAGCGAGTGAGCGCTGGGGGAGCGAGTGCGCGCGAGGGGAGCAAATGCGCGCTGGGGGAAGTGAGTGCGCGGGAGGCGGGCGGGACGTACACATGTGGATGCAGCGTCGCGTCTGCCGGCCCAGCACTTCTCTAAAGTGCGAGTCTTGGGGAACCCTAGAACCTATTTTGCTCTAGTGATACCATAGCACCAATACTTGGAGTTTGGAGACAAGTGGTGCATCTATTTTGTACCCACACAATTCCCCCGAAGTGGTGGAGGGGCTCGGAATTTTCGCCAACACTCTCGCCAAGCTGTTTCACTTTCGCTGGGGCGAAATCGTTTTGGGCACTGTAGTCAATCCAACAGTATTGCCAAATGTATACTGCTGCTTTAATGTAACATGTCTAAAAGTCTAGGCAGGAATGGGTGGACTAGAACAAGGTTGGGTACAAATATGAAAACCTAAAAGGGCTATACCCCATATTAGCTGCCCCACTACAGCCTACACACATATATCATATATATTTTTTGACACACCCCCATAGGCAAAGTGGGGGAGAGCAACGGGTCACAAGTCCAGTCAAGAAAAGCAAAGCAAGCTCAGGGTGGATCACAACGTCACCACACGCACTAAGCACAAGCAAAGGACCACAAGGCCAGTTCACATGCAGAGGTATAGCAGCCCACCACCACCGCTGGCACCACCACCACCGTCTCCGCCGCTGCTGCCACCACCACCACCACCACCCCCGCCACTAGTCCCGCCGCCACCCCCACTCCCTCCGCCGCCACCGCCGCCACCGCCACCGCCCCCTCCAGCTCCACCCGCGCCCTTGCCCCCCTTGCCCTTGCTGGAGCGACGTCTCCCACTAGGGGCAGACGCCGCGCCGACCGACTCAAGACCAAGCAGGTCGGCAGCAGCAGCAGAGGCAACAGAGGGCAGCAAGGGGGAAGGAGAGCACCCCTCAAAGATGGGGGTGCGAGGGTCACCACGAGAAGCACCTACAGCGACTATGCTCTTTTCCGCTGCGAGGAGGGCCTTCTCGAGGAGGTCGACGGTGAGGGTGGTGGGACAGACTGCGAGAAAGTGGTCCCTGACGACTCGAAGGGAGTCAGGGAGGCGCGCGACTACGTAGTAGAGGGCGATGTACATGGGGGGGGGGTTCTTAGCGCAGAACTCAGCAGGAAGGGCGGCGCGGTAGCGAGTGTCACTAGTGCGGAGGTGCGTAATGAGGTCAGCGACAGTGGGAAAGGCAGAGAGGTCAGGAAAGAGGTAGGGAAGCATGAGACGGCTCAGTGCAGCAGTGGCAGGGGAGGAGTAGCGCGCAACTACAGCGTCGTACAAGGTCTGAGCACTCTTGTACTGACTGAAGTGCGCACGCTCAGAGGTAGGGAGGAGGCGACGCACAGCAAGACGTGCAGTAGCATCGCGGGTGGCCCACTTAGAGCGGACAGCGGGATCAGCATCAGCAGCAGGAGCAGGAGAGGCGCCAGAGGTGAGATCAAAGAGAGAAAGGTCGTCAGCCCTGTCGCACTGTAAGAACAGCTGCAGGTCGTCTAACCAGACCTCAAAATCAATGGCGCGACCCTCAGCGTCAAAAGCTAGGACACTAGGGGTAGCCATGGCGACGACAGCGACGCAGTGCAAGCAGCAGGGAAAGAGCTCGCAGTGTCAGTGGGACTGTGCTCACCAGGCAGGGCAGGTCGTGTAGGTATGCAGAAAGGCGGCTCAGCGACCTGGCGGCTCGGGTGCAGGGCGGCTCGGCTGCTGGGCGGCTCGGGCGCAGGGCGGCTCGGCTCCCGGGCGGCTCGGCGGCTGGGCGGCTCGGGTGCAGGGCGGCTCGGCTCCCGGGCGGCTCGGCGGCAGGGCGGCTCGGGTCCCGGGCGGCTGGGCGTCGGGCGGCTCGGCTCACGGGCGGTTCGGCTGCTGGGGCGGCTCGGCCAGGAGATGCAGGGGCGGGGCCGTCAGGTGCAGCGGCGGGTTGACCGGTGCAGTGGCGGGCCGGCAAGTGCAGCAGCGGGCCGGCAGGTGCAGCGGCGGGCCGGCAGGTGCAGCGGCGGGCCGGCAGGTGCAGGCGGCGGGCCATAGGGTGCAGTGGCGGGCCGTAGGTGCAGCGGCGAGGCCGTCAGAGGCGGCGGGCCGGCAGGTGCAGCGGCGAGGCCGTCAGAGGCGGCGGGCCGCTGGGTTCAGCGGCGGGCCGGCAGGTGCAGTGGCGGGCCGGCAGGAGCAGCGGCGGGCCGGCAGGGGAGGCGGCTGAGCCGCGCTAGGGGAGGCGGCAGGGCCGCGTCAGGGGAGGCGGCAGGGCCGCGTCAGGGGAGGCGGCGGAGCCGCGTCAGGGGAGGCGGCGGTGCCGCGTCAGGGGAGACGGCGGAGCCGCGTCAGGGGAGGCGGCGGGGCCGCGTCAGGGGAGGCGGCGGGGCCGCGTCAAACAGGCGGCGAGGCCGCGTCAGGGGAGGCGGCGGAGCCGCGTCAGGGGAGGCGGCGGGGCCGCGTCAGGGGAGGCGGCGGGGCCGCGTCAAACAGGAGAGGTGGCGGGGCCGCGTCTGAGGGACAGCGGGGCCGCGAGGGAAAAGGCGACCCGAGGGGTCGCTAAAAAAAAAGGGCGCGCCTCGGGGCGCGCTTCGGTGGGCCCTAAAAAAAACGGTCCTAAGGCAGGACCCGCTCTATACCATGTGAAGCTAGGAAAAACAGGAATGGAATGACTATAGAAGATTGGGTACAAATACAACCCTAGAAACCCTGTACCCCATATGTGCTACCCCACTATAGCCTACAGAAACTATGTCATATAAATCTTACATATGCAACAACAACAGCATAGTGATCACTACCTAGCAAGAGCAAGCATGCATATATATATATATATCACAGTACAAGCGAAGCCTACAGCAAGTGAGGAAACGTAGGCACCACGCCTAACAGAGTACAAAAGCGCTGATGATCACCAGACGAAAGTGCCTTGGTGAAGATATCAGTAGTGTTGGCTTGAGTGGCCACGTGAGCGAGACGAAGCTGACCACGCTGCTGCAACTCTCGAGCAAGGAAGTAACGCAGAGCGATCTGCTTCGTTCTGTGTGAGAAGAAACAAGAATGAATGAACTATGAATGAAGTGAGTACATATAAGAAACCCTAATTGGGTTGTACCCCCTATGGGATACCCCACTATAGTCTACACAACAGCATAAGCTATAATGTTCTGACACACCCCCATAGGCAAAGTGGGGGAGAACAAGGGGTCACAAGACCAGTCAAGCAAAGCAAAGCAAAGCTCAAGGTGGATCACAAAGTCACCACACATTCCGAGCACAAGTTCAAGGCCAGAAGGCCAGTTCACATGCAGGAGCATATATATATAAGAAGCTAAGTAAGCAAGAGCAAGAGTATATATATATGACAGTACAAGCAAGGTCTGGAAGTGAGTGTTGAAATGTATTTGTATACTTTCATATAAATGCCTACAGTAGCCTAGTGTAGTTATCTTAGTTTCCTGCTAGGTGGTGTACCATTTGCCTTTCTTCATTCTTGCCTATTTGTACCCTTGAATCTATAGTGAAACCCCTCATTTCTCTCGATACTTTTTACTTCAACTCGAACTCACTAGCCATGGCTCCTAAGTCACGCTAGTTTCTTGACAGTGAGCAAGTGAGGCAAGATAGGCACAAGACCAAGCTGAGTACAGAAGCGCTGATGATCACAAGGCGCAAGTGCCTTGGTGAAAACATCAGTAGTGTTGGCCTCAGAGGCCACGTACGCAAGCCGCAACTGTCCACGCTGCTGTAGCTCACGAGCAAGGAAGTAGCGGAGAGCAATGTGCTTTGTTCTGTGCTCCAGTCGCTGCTCTCGACACAAGGCCAGCATGGCCTTGTTGTCTCCAAGGTCGGTCAGAAGGTAGGTGAGCCAGCGAAGCTCCTCGACAGCCATGGCCCCGGCGTAGATCTCAGCCTCACAACTGGAGCTGAGAACAGAAGACGAGCGAGTAGCCCGCCACAAGACAGAGCCGGAGCCAAGGCAGAAGGTGTAACCCTGTGACACCGCTGTGTAGCCTGGTCGTCAGCCCAGGAAGCGTCTGCGGGCCCAGTGAGGACCACTGGACTCCGCCCTCCAAGCACTAGCCCCATGCCCGATGTACTGCACAAGTAGCGCAACACCCTCCTCGCTGCAGCCATGTGCTCTGGTCGGTGTCTCCCAGGAGCAACATAGCGTGCAAGAATGCTAAGAGGGTATGCAAGGTCAGGTCGTGTGCAGGTCATCAGGTACATGAGGCAGCCAACAAGCTCTGGATACGGGCCACTCGACTCTACGGACTCATCCGAAGGCTGAGCTGAGAGTGAGTGGCGAGTAGGCAGAGGAGTGGCCTGAGGCGAGGAGTACGTGAAGCCGAAGCGCTGAAGGACCTGCTGCACCATGTGTGACTGAGTCAGGGTAATGGTGCGGCGTGCTCTGTCCCGCGTGATCTGCAAGCCAAGGTAGCTGCGCAGTTCACCCAGGTCAGTGCACGTGTGTCTCTTCTGCAGCTCGGACTTCACGTAGGCGAGTCCAGCAGTGTCACCTGTGGCAAAGACCAAGTCGTCGACGTACACGAGGATGTAGAATGGCGGCAGAGAGGTGTCGGTGCGCAGAAACAGCGACGGGTCGGCAGTAGAAGGAGCAAACCCAAGAGCCGCAAGTGTAGTCCTCAATGTGTCGTGCCACTCACGTGGCGCCTGGCAGAGACCGTAGACTGGACGCCGGAGACTCCACTGGGTACCAGGAGGGAACGACCCAGTGAAGCCAGGTGGGTGGCGCATCCAGATCTCCTCGTGCAGGCTGCCCTGCAAGAAAGCAATGCTGAAGTCCAGAGAGTGTAGCTCTTAGTCACGGTGAGCACCAACGTGCAGCAGTACCCGAAGAGTGGTCATCTTCGGGGTGGGGGAGAAGGTCTGAAAGTAGTCAACTCCTTGCCGCTGACTGAAGCCACGAGCCACGTAACGCGCCTTGAAGACAGGCGGAGAACCCGGCGGCCGCTTCACCCTGAAGATCCACATGCCACTGACGATGTTCGCCCCAGGAGGGGGGACAGCGTCAACGTAGGTGCCTGTGGACTTCCAAGAAGCCATCTCTGCATCCATAGCTGCCTGCCACTGAGAGGAGTAGGGACCCTCTATCGCCTCCGCGTAAGAGCGCGGAGCCGGGATGTCAAGTGCATCCGGGTCTCCCTCAGG